ATTCTAAGTAAAACAGTTTTTGTTTTTTAACTACCAGATGTTTTAAAAATATTTTTAAACATTTTTATTTTAAACTTTTTATTATAAGGTAAATTATGTTTGAAAAAAGAAAATAAATTTAAAAAAAAAAAAAAATTTTTAAATTACATTTTAAAGATTTTCTAAAATAATTTCTCAAAAATAAATTAATTCATTTAATGAATAATATCCTGAATAAATTTATTAATTATTAAAGTTTTTAATTTAATTAAAAGATAATATAATAATAAAATGCAATGATAGAGGTAACCAATAATTATTTATTTATTATTAATTTATATTTTTAAGATTTTGTTTTTTCATTTTATGTTTATTATTTTGTTATATCTGATGGTTAAAAATAGGTATGAAAATTTTAAAGTCTTAAATTTTACATTACTCTATTACACATTTTATTTACAGATAAGAAAACCAAAAAAAAAAAAAAAAAACTACCCAAAAGACTTTTTGTATTACTAAAGGGCTGTTAGAAATCCTTGGAAAAAATTTAAAAATAATTTTAAGATAACCTTTAAGTTACCTTTTAATGATAATATCAGGAATAAGACAAATTTTTTTTTTTTTCATTTTTGGTACTTTTGTTTAATATTTTTCAAGTTTCACTAGCAAATTTTTCATTAATAACATCATTGATGATGTTTGTTTTTTTTTTAAAAAAAAATTAAAAGTGGAAAAAAAATAAAATATTTTTACCTATTTTCTTAATTTCTTTAATTTATTTGTGAATGAACATAGACAAATCCAACAATTATTTTAAAGCTGCTTTTTGCAAGACTTTCCAATTATCTATTTTTATTGCTCTAAGTAACTTTTTTGACACAAATTTGTTAAGCAAGATTCAAAATTTCTTTTATTACACAATTGACAGATAAGCTTCAAAATTTTCTTCAATATCCTAATTAAAGATACCTTGTTTTCTTCTTAATTCCCATTTTGATGATAAAACTTTGTTTATATTAAAGTCATTTTTTCATCATTTATGCTGTTTTTTTAGCAAAAAGTGGAATACCTTAATCTTTCTTTAGGAAATTTTGTCAATTATCATTTTATTGTAAGTAACTTTTTGACACAAATTTCCTAATTTCTTTTGCTTCTCTTATTCAATATATATTCTGTCCTTTTCACATTCACTGATAAAAGTCACATGTTGTATTAACTTTTTTTCAATTTCATTTTGTGCATAAGATTCTCATAATTCACTGATAAAAGCATTTACTTTTTTCATTTCCATATAGATTAAATATTATAGATTAAATATATATATATATATATATATATATATATATATATATATATATATATAGCTCTCTTTCCTTTGTTTCTAAGGACATTTTCTAATTCTTTTGTTCATTTTCTGAAAAGCAACTTTTACTATTCCTGTGCACCTTTGGATTTTTAGGTTTCACTTTCCATTGTCTGTTATTACACTACTAAAATAGTTAAATTTCTGTATCTACTTGGTTTTTATATAGTATATAGCTCTTACTTTGGGCTGTCCCTTTTGCTGGAACAAGAGATTATTTCTTGTTTCAGTGTCTAGAAAAAAAACACTGGTTTTGCACTTCTGATCTATTTTGTCTAAGCTCTATTCATTAGAGACCTAATTATTAGTTATGTGGTTCATTAAACTGATTATCTGATGGGATTCACATGCATTCGCACCTGTCTTCTTTGGCATTGCTGGAAGATAGATTTACTGAGGTCATGCGATATTTCACCACTGTCATATATTTCATTTATTATTTCAGTTAATTTATTAACCCTGAAATCATCTAAGGCTGATATCATCACTATTGCAATCTCATCTGTTCCTGCTGCTTTGTTTCTGTTCATCTTGGTCAGTCCCAATCTTACTCACACATTTTAATATTACATATCCTTCCATGTTTTTATATATTGTAGGTTTTTCTCCTCTGCTGTCATGAAAAGACTTGCCTATGTATGCATCTACTCGTTATAGTATTGTTCCTTTTTCCATTTTATAAATTCTGTCAAAGAACACATTTTTGTCATATATATATCATTTTATGCATGCCTGCTATATCTATGTTTTGTAGTGTTTCTATCTCTGCACATTTCTTGTTGAGCCATTCGGCTTGTTTGCACTTACTTCTGATGCCTTTGCTTAACATTCTATATTCTGTGCCATTCCTTAACATTATCTGCTGTCTCTTTTTTATTAGCTTGAAAAGTTCATGTCATTCGCTTCTTTTTTTTTTGTTGCTCTTTCCTAAGGATGATCTCTTTTGCCGCTGTCACTAGTGCTTCCCTTATGATATTCCACATTGAGTTAGTGAACTCTTTGAAACTTTTATATCTGTTTTTAACTATATTAGTCTATGTACATTTGTAAAATCAGTCATTCTATTGTGTGTGGTAATTTCGGTGTTGCTTTAGGTTTCTTTAATTTATTATTAGTTTGCATATCACTGGGAGGTGATCACTTTCACACTTGGATAAACTACATCCGCATCCTGGGTAAGATGATAAACTACATCCAACAGCAAGGCCTATGGTCAGGAGGTTTTGAGGAGTGTGGAACCACCTCATAATTGCTGGTGTTCCCAGGTCCACCCTGACCCAGGGTGGTAGCACCTGTTAGGGTCCCAGCTATGGGTAAACAGTTAACCCCTCCAAACTGGGGTCAAAACACTATGAAAGCGTAAAAATAGGTTTAATAGCAGAAATACTTTGTAAAAATTATTACCAGCAATACATTTCTGAAAAAAAAAAAAAAAAAAAAAAAAAAAAAAATTATTACCAGATATATATTTTTTGAAAAATATTACCAGCAATATATTTTTGGAGAAAAATATTACCACATATAGATTTTTGAAGAAAAAAAATATTACCAGAAATAAAATTTTGAAGGAAAATATCACCAACAATAAAAATTGTTGGCATTAAGTAACCCATTGTGGTTGATATGCTATAAAACAAACCAAACCAAACCTTGACACTTGGGTATGTTTTAGAGTGTAGAACTGCATTACTAAATCTTTTATTGATCGTTAGATAGTGGAAACAAAAAAAAAAAATTATCATTGTCTATGCACATTTGTCAGCACTGCAAATTTTGTAGGTTGATAGCAGCTCAAGAGCCACACCCAAAGTGTCACACATCATTGTCACTACTGTGCTCAATCCACTATTTAACAACTGTAAGCATTCACCAAGCATCAATGAATGTCAATGAGTACATTTTTATGTCTGCATGGAGAAATTCACTAGTATATCTCTACTTTATATGTATTCCTGTTAGATGTCATTTTTTCCAGAATGCTGCTAAGATGCTATATGTAACAAGGCAAAATAGGAGATTATTATCAGAAATTTTCTAACTCTATTGCTATACCACCAACATGGAGTCATCACTTTTGGAGTGAATTATAAATTTCAGAAAATTACAAAAGTTGAAATTTCTGATTTTGTCAGTGAAAATTTTAATTAAAATTTTATAAATGCAAGAGAAAATGTGTTACTATTTAGCAATTGTTAAAGAGCAAGATTTTGAAATAACTGGTAAAATTACAAACTGATTACTTTCATGTGAGATTTTAAATCAAAATGGAAAGAAGTGTTTCAATGATGTGTTCAATATCTTGCTGGTTGCAATATTTAAACTGTGATATATGCACCACACATAATTTCTTAAAATTACTGGTAATTCCAATCCAAAAAATATACAGTTGCACTAACAGTCTCAGCAACAAATGTAAAACTTTTTTGTCTTCTGAAATAAAATAACACAATCAGAAAAGCTATGTTTGCTATTTACAGGATAGGCAAAACTAATGAATTACTAAGTCTAACAATATTGGGGGAAGACAACATTTTTAGCAAAGTTATAGAATGACTGAAAACATAGGTTTTTGAGTTCTTGAATAATTGAAGAAAAAATGTTAAATGTTATTAAAGATAAAGAATAAATATTTCATCAAATTTTGTGAAGCAAAAAATCTTCTACAGAGGTTCTATTTCAAAACAGAACCTTCTTCAGTAAATATATTAACCAGATATGTTGTGAAAACATGTAGAAACCTATATCATAATAAAAAATTACAAACTCTGTGTTATTGTATTTCAGGAAAATGTGACAAAAATAGCTTAGAAAGTATCGATAGAAGTTAACTGAATTGGAACATGGTAAACAAATAGTAAAGAGGAGCCCAAATTAAAGAATTTGTCAGGAAAAATAAAAATATGTATTGATTGTTGATATAGTTTAAAAGCATTAATGATAAGAATTTAAGTATTCATAGAATATATAATCAATATTTCTGAATTTTTCTTATTTGTATAATGAAATGAATTGTTTTAAAAGATTTATATATTTGTGGCTTAACATGCATTTTTAATAAGTTTGCTGCTTTATGCTTTGTCCACATAGTAAAAAAAAGGAGTTCTACAAATATTTTTAGTTTTGTGTTTCAAGTTATACTTGAAAGTAATTATAAGCAATATTATTAGAAAAAGAAATTATCTCAGCAAGATTAAATATTAGAGGGAGCCTTAAAAACAAAATTAAAATTTCATTAGCCAACATAATACCAGAGAAATTAATAAAATCTTGATAAAAACAACTCACAATTAGAAGTTTACATTCATGTTTTTATTTCAAATGCCTTTAATTCTTCTTTCAGTATTTTAAACATGTGTAGCCAGTAGAGTCTAAGCCCGGATTTTCGTGAAGTGTTAAACTGAAATCCATTAGGCTATACACCAAAGAAATAAAATTAGAATTGATATGGTTAACCTGGAAATAAAACAACAATATTAATTCGTTTATAACAGCATATAACTGAAGTAAATGTAATAAAAAGTAGGAAATCTATTTAAAGTATGGGTAACAAATATTAAAATTATAAAAAAATATAATCTCATTAGAATATATATCAGAAACATTTGCATTTACTAAAATATAAATCAATACATTCAAAATAAATACATACAGCAGTGGCTTAACCAGAAAAATTCAAGTATTTTTTCAGCAGAATTGTCTTCATTGTGGAAGCATTATGGAAGGACCTGTGAGAAAAAATGCAATGCATATAAGAAACAATAGTTGGGTATAACTCATAGAACATAAAACCATTAGTTTTAGTATGCTAAAATAAATCTTTGAGAGAAATAATTTTTCTTCTCTAAATTGAAGATGAGGCATTTTATCGCTAGATTTCAATATAAAATACAATCATTACATCAAATGTTATCTCACTGATCTTGCAGTTTCTTCAAAAAGTTTCAAGATAGAGAAATAAGAGTAAGTAGTTCCAGAATTTCAATGATTAATATTAAAAATCTAGTTAACAAGCTTTTAAGAATCATTTGTTTTTATTCTAAATTCATTTTTAAATACTCTAGTATATTTCTTGCTACACAAGTGAATGATACTTCAAGTGCCATAACATAAGAAATGAACTTTACTAATCAGTTATTATAGATCTGATACATGACTAAGTATATTTTTTTATTTTCTGAATTAATGATTTGCTTTAATTTTTTTTTTAAGAAAAAAGCAAAATCTGTTAATAGTAATGTTGTTACTTCCTGATTGAAATAAAACAGCAACACAATTTTGGAAAACTGATTCAGAAGACACATTTATTTTAAAAGCTGTAATTATTAGCCCTGTAACAGTAGTTTTTTTCTGTCAAATGGCATTAATAATATAAAAATACATAATATTAAAATTTCACTTCAGTTGAAAATTTGTAATCAATCTATAAAAATTTTAAAATGAAATTAACACTATGCTAACCACTAAATTTGAGAGGACAACATGCATTTCAATTTTATCTTGAATAATAGAATTTTTTCATTCACTTTATTTGATTTAGCTTCCTGACTATGAAATTTATTTACAGGCTAGTCTCTTCTCAAAAAATATGAGTGTATATTAAATTTAAACTATTATTTCTTTTTTCACTTTATGTATTTGTACTCACTCCATTTCTTGGTTTTGACCAATTTTAATTTTTTCCTAATTATTCTATTCTTTTAAATTTTAATAATTATTCAATAGTTTTTTAAAAATATATTTGTCAAAATTTAAAATAAATATTTATATATTTTAAACATTTAAACACAATTTTCATCTTGAAAAATGTTATGTATGTAAAATCTTTCAGCAGTGCATAAATATGGAAATCTACGCTAAAAACATTTTGCTAATTTTCTGTTTTACATGTTATCTTGTGATCCTAATCCAATTGGATATAAAACTGTCAAAACTTAAAGTAAATTTTAAATGTAAAATTCATTAAAGAAATGGAAAAATTAGTAAGAATCTGAATAAGACTTTCAGTCCATATACAACAGATAATAAATAGTACTCATAAGTAGCAGTTCATAGAATTTCCATAAGATGTTATTTTCAAAATAAATAACATTCAAAATGACAACTTAGCTTTCAAACTCATCAAATATTAATTTAATAATCTTAAAACTCTGTGGTTTTTATAAGCTAGAGTATCTTATTTAAATTTTAGAAATAACCTAACAAGAACAAATTATGGCATTCCAAGTTCAATATTATTAACTTCAATGAGACAAAATAAAATTTAATTTTGATTTTAAATACTGTTATTCATCAAATAAATTATAATAAAAATAGTTCTAAAATATTGTTATAACTATTGTGACACTATTTAGCTATGGTAATTGGCTAAATAATTAACCATAGAAATTAAAACAGGAAATACTTAAGGCAAAAAAGAGCTATCCCGAAAGATAGACTGATCGATGTTAAAAAAAGATTTTATTCTATTTACGAAAAAGACAAAAGACAGTAAACCCATGGAAAAAGCCATATGTGAGATTTTGTCAAGTTGATTAATGTCTTGCTGAGGGAGATAGGAAGAAAAGCAAATATTAAGATATCGACCAGACCACATGGCAGTCATAAAAATTTCGGCCTGAGATGATTGCTGGTATAGGGTAGGGAGAATCAATATTAATTATCTTCCAAGATGTCATTTATTTTTTTTTCCTGAGTGCCAGCAGGGAAAAGCAATGTGGTGATTATAAAATTTTGGCATTTGTTTCAACATAGGTGGAGAGGATTATTATTATTTACTTTACCAATGTGTCACTTCAGACGCTGAGATGTTGAATAGCAATATGGTGATTACAAAATTTTGGCATGAGACAGAAAATAGAGTGGAGAATTGAGATTTGGCGAGATAAAGAATTTAATCTCTCAACAGTCCAAGGGTTCCATTATAAAGCTAACTTCACGAAGTGACCAGATGGAAAAACTTTGAAAGTGATTGATGGAGTCAGTAGAGAGTGCTGGCTAAGTGGATTCTGGGTGGCCAAAAAGATATGATAGAATTTTAATTGGCAATATGGAATTTGTAAAAATCTTGGCCGATGGGAAATAGGAGAATTTTGTAAACAAAAATTCTAGATTATAATTTTAAGGAGACCAGCTTAGCCACACCCACATGGCCGGGATGTCATTGGTCGAGTGGTAGCAATGGTGATAGGCAGAGGTGGATGAATGAGAAGGACGGAGAAATTATTAATGCCCACTGAAGGGATTGGTACGAGATATCAATGTGAGAGAGGAAGGGTTTAGGAGGATAGCTCTCCTCCGACCTCCCCTCATGGATGAGGGAGACCCCACCGAAATGGAAAATGATTAATTTACCAAAAATGAGAAGTAATCAATTTTCCTGGCCTGAAAACAAAGAGATTTCTTGTTGGGAATTGAGATTTACTGAGAACCCCAGGCTGTGTCTGGTTCCACACCGGGTTTTGGTCGGTACCCATATAAACGAACGTCCTCGGGTCGTTCTGTGAGTCGAGTAGAGTCAGTTCAGTTCAAGTAGCGGGAACCAGAGTGTTGCCTTGCAGAAGCTGACTGGGAGATTTCACAACCTCCGATTTCGCCTATCCTACCAATAGCAAGTTATACTGACGAACAAAGCCAAGCCAGCACCTAAGAACTAAATCAGTTGACTTAAGATACCAAAACTTACTTGAAATGTAAAAGTGTCACATTCTGTAGAAAACAGGCTGGGAGAGAAACACTCCTGTATATAACAGACGGATAAAGTTAATTTGTTATTTCTTAACATACTTGAACCTCTTGGGTTTTTCTTTTATTTGCTTCTTTTTCTTTACGCTTGTGCGATAACACCTTCAGTCTGGACTCAGTTTATACTACGACCCGACACCTGATTGATCTCATCTACCTAAGATCAAAATCACAATGTGGGTAGGTTAGACTTGAGATTGAAGCAGTTACTGCGGTAACTAGACATTGGAAGTGAGCTGGGAACAACAGAGCTGGTTTCGAACTGGTACAGCTGGTGTGAAGCCGTTAACTTTGACGACCAGAATTCGACCCTGGACGGGCCAGTGTCACATACTGGTATCCTGACAAAGGGATTCCGCCGAGTAGCGATGACCACTGATCGACTGGGACACAGGCTGATGGCAGCGACTAAGAGTCAACCCCAAAACACCGGGGGAAGAAACATTACAGCTTCGCACAGTGACAGGGAGTTGACCATGGGCCGACAGCTTAGTGTCACACTATGCATATAGTTCAAGTAAAATGTTTAACTTTAAAGTATATCATTGACTTATTTTCCTGGGTTTTGACTAGCAAAAAGCTTTAAAACTCATTATGAACCAAATTCAAATTATTACAAATAATGTAAAAATACATATTAAAATTTCCCTTCAGTTGAAAATTTGTGATCCATCTATAAAAATTTTAAAGTAAAATTAACACAATGGTAAATACTACCTAACTCATAAATATACACAATAAAAAGTACAGAGAAAAAAGAACCATTAAATATAAAAGCAATCAGAGAGAATAAAATATTCACTATAATTATCAAGTGAAGAAGGAAAAGTTCAGATTTAACAAAACAAATTCATAATTTACATCAAGCCAGTTTAACAATTTTACATCAAAGTTCTGGAAAATATCTAACTCCTTTCTTTATAGTAAGGAGTTAGATCTTTGTTACAGATTTATAATGTTCTTGTTATTTCAGTCATTAAAACAAGTGATACATAACAGAGATATATTAGCGAATAATAAAAATCATTACTTTTTAATTCTTGCATATAACTGTAATAACTGTAAAAATTCAATCCCACCCATGCAAACATCTACTTGAAAGTGCTGAATTTTTTTTTTATATATATATATATATATAACAAATTTTTTTGTTATTGTAATATTTGAATTTAATGTTATATTTTTCATTAAAGAAGTGAAAGGAAGAATCTTAAAAAATGTTTATATGAATAGATTACAAATCATCATAAAAACAAACAAAAAAAACTGTTTTTTAAAAAAATCAGGATGCCATTGACAAAAAATTGTTACTTCCACTTAAGGTTTAATCAGTTTTCAAAATATTTACATCAATAAATAGAATGATTTTAGAAAAATCTGATATAAAAATTATTTGTAACATTTTCATAGAAAATGTTAAAAATAATTTTGCATTTTTAAAATCTATATTTATATTTTGCAACATGCTCAATTTACATGTTTACAATTTAAAAATATAAAATTTAAGTAAATGAAAATTACATTTTTGGAATTTATTTGAAAAATTCTGATTTTATTTATAAAAATTATTTTGAAAAATAAATTTACACATGTTCACTCCCTAAACCTATTTAATTTGATTTTACGATATGGCATTTATATAATAATGAACATGCAATTTTAAATTATCAAACTGTTATTAAAATTCTTTTGTATTGTGCTATTAATAATTTGGCTATAATGAATGATGTATATAAGCCTGGTCAATTCTCTATCCACAACCTTAAACTGAACTCTTATACAATATCACACATTACAAAAATATTAGTAGCACAATGTTGTATACAAACTAAGAGATCTACTTAGAATGGGCTAAATTTCAGATCCAGCAGATGTTAGTAGCTTCAGTAAAAAACATCAACATTGTGGCCACAGCATCTTTACAGCTAGGACCTACCATATCACATATACATAGTCAAATCATCCTCATTCCTTTCATATTCAA